AGATCCTTGCGCTTGCCAGGGAAGCGCTTATTCTATTGAGCCATCTCCCCGGCCCTCAAATTATCTTTTGACATATTTCTTTTTGTCTATTCCTTCTCTCGCCATCTTGCTTCATGGGCTCATTCAATACTTCAAAAAAAAATTCCTAGAAAACTATTATAACTCTTCGGTGTCCTGCTGGGAAACTTTATTCTCAATTTAATTGATTAGATCCGATCTGAATCATAAGGTACAGCATTGATTTTCATGTGCCATCTGCATATATTCTGGTTTACAAATTAGAGTAGGTTTGCTTTTCTCATGTGCAATGGAAGACTAATATAAACAACAATATATTTATAATGCAAGATGACTTTAACTCTAAAGAAATTAAGATTATTTACCCTTGTCATCTCTTATAAGAAATAGATTAACCTGCTTTAAATTCCACTAAATTTATCTAATGTTCTACATAAAGTTTTATGTATACTTCTCGTCACTTTTCAGTGACTTAAATGCATATATTGTTTCTCACAGAAAAGATATCATTTGGCATAAGTTTGTAAGTACTATGACTAACTGTTTAAAGCATAAGCTAAATCTAAAGATTCAAACCTATTTTTTTTCCTTTTTTTATGTATTTGGTACAGGGTCTCACTATGCAGGTTGGACTTATAGTGATCCTCGTGTTTTCAGCCTCCCCACTGCTGGGATTACAGGCATGTGCTACCATACCAGGTCTTGGTGACTGGCTCAGCATGCCTAGGGGTGGAGCCTGCACAGCATGTGGTGCTGGGGATTGAACCCTGCACCCTGTGTTTGCCTAAGCAGGCACTTAGTTCACTGAGCTGTCTCACTGGTCTGCAAACCTAAATTTTAATGATATTCTCATTTTATTTTTTCTTGATCAGTCACTGAGATAGTAATTCCCTGAATTAGTTTTTACTTATTTATTTTACTCTTTTGGTGTTGAGATGTGGTGTTGCTGTATAGCTCAGGCTAATGTGAATTTACCGTGTATCCCAGGCTGGCCTTGAACTTGCAAAATCTCCTCTCTCACCTTCCCAAGTATTTGGGCTACAGAGTGTGGCACTACTCCTGGTACTGATTGTGTTATTTATTTGTTTGTTTGTTTATTTATTTAGTGGAACTGGGGATTGAACTTAGGCTCTTGTGCTTACCAAGCAAGCACTTATTCTACTGAGCTACCTCCCCAGCCCCATGATTGTGTTATTGACCATATTTGTTTCTTTAATTTTCACCATGAACTCTAATAAAAAACTTAAATCTCTCTGAAAGCATAAAGATTTTATTCTACAACACTTATCTTTATCATTCTTTTATTTTTCCTTATATTTATTCTCTTATTTGAAAATTTGTATTATTGATAATGAAATATAATTTCTTTCTTTTGACGTATTCATACAGAGTTGTTAATCAAGTGAAGTCAGTCTACCTAAATTTTAGGTTTTTTCACTATATAAAAAAAGAATAAAATAGCAGTACTCTTAATTTATAGGATTACTTATACAGTCATTGTGATGAATATATACAATTCACATAGAGGACTTAATGTTGTTCTTGGCACACATTTATAAATGCTCAAAAGAAACTGTCAGCTTTTTTTTTTGTTACTTTATAGATTCATTTACATTTTTAATGTGTCTGTACATATGGATAAGTCTGCATACTACTAAATGTTCATTAAGCTTTAATGTTAAATTTTGGGCTGAAAATCAGGAACAAGATCAACTACATTTTTATGAAGCTTATGATGTATTTTGAGAAGTAAAGTGCAAAGCCCCAAAATTTATAAACAAAATGTTGTTTAGACACCTAATAGAGTATTATTCAGTTTTAAAAGGAAAGAAATTGTGACATATATCACATCATGGGTGAACTGCAAGTACAGTATTTTAAGTGCAATAATCCCGTCACAAAAGGGCAACCAGGGTATGGGTCTACTGATGGGAGATATCTAGAAAAGTCATTCACAGAGGTGGACAGATGAAGGTCATTTTCCAAGGAACAGGGAGAAGAAGTAGGAAGCTAGTGCTGCATGGTTAAGGTCATGGTGTGAAAGGATGAAAGGTTCTACAGACTGATGGGGTGTATTACAAAAATGAATACACGTAATGTCACTGAATGATAAACTTAAAATAATTAAGGTGATACATTTTATATTAAATATCACAATATAAAAGAGGGCTGGTGAGATAGCCCCGTGGACTAAGCACCTGCCTGGAAAGCAGAGAGACCTGGGTTCAATCCCCAGCATTATATGCCATGCTGGCCTTATCCCTGGGTATGCTGAGCTGGCCACCGAGACTGGGCATGGTGGTGCACACCTGTAACCCCAGCACTGGGGAGGCTGAAAACAGGAGGATCACTGTGATGAGCTGCGTAATGAGACCCTGCACTAAAAAAGAGTTAAAACAAATATTATCATAAATTTGTTAGGTCGTTAGAGCTGTTAGATTGTTGAATAAGTTAGATTGTTGAACAAAACATAAAGTTTATTTTTATAATTTATTTTTCAATAAATAATACTTTTACGAAAGAGTACAGATATAAAATTATATATGGGGAAAAGTACATTTCCCTTGAGCTACCTAGTTCCTTTCCCTAAAAACGACTCTAATCAGTTACTTATATAACCTATGGTATATCCTACCTATACCATAGTCTAGTTAATATATACAGCATTGTATACATTATTGTGCAATTTGTTTCTTCCACTTAAGGAAAAAACCCTTGAAAAGCACATTAAAGTCAACTCCATTCTTTTGTTTTTAAACAGTTGTACAGATATTATGAATATATATTCACCAACTCCATACTGAGGAGGAAGAAACGGGTTCTAGTCTTGACATCACAAAAAACGCTTTGAAAATATTTGGGACATATGTCATTAGTGTAAGTTAAGTTCCTAGAGATAGGATCACTGGCTTCTCAAAAGATTTAGACTCCAAGTGTCTAAAGAGATGGAGTTTATGGGGAAGGTGCTTGTTTTAGTCACTTTTACTAAGAGCTTGCAAACATCTTTGCATCTTCTTCCAACATGACCATGAGCCACTAAGTCTTGATGATTTTACCTCCTCCTCTTCCACTCCTGTTTGTCCTCCCATCTCCTTCCTCACAGCCACCAGCTCAATTTAGGCTTTTGCTATTCACATCTAAAGTACTATCTTCCAACTCATTTTCCTGAGAGAATAATCTGCTCAGACATTTCATGCTGCCTAATATATCCAGGATTAGATCTAAGGTCAGTATTTTAGCATACGAGGTTTTCCTTAATCTGCTCCCTGTACTTCTTCCCTCTAATACTCCCCTCCCATCATCCAGTTTTAATCTTTTTGTTTTTCTAAAGTAGAATAGTCCACAGTTTCACGTGCTCATGAATTTGCTCTCTCTCTCCCAGCCTAGAACGAATCCATTGACTTCCCTAGCTTTGCCTTTATGTCCTATCATTTGTCTTGCACAGTTAGATCTGTTTTCTACCAAAATCATTCCTGTGAAGCAGCCTGAAACAAGAGGGGACAGTTTTTTTTCTCTCTTATTACTCTAGTGTCCAGCATGGCATATCCAACGTGTCACTGGATGCAGAGTCAATGAAATTTTATCACCTGAACTCAACTAGGTCTTGGGGAAAAGGAGTAGAGCCATTCATTCACTCATGAAAAAATGGTGACTGAAAAAGTATAAGGTTAGGTGCTAAGCAATGGGATTACAGCCAAGAAGAAAGTAACCCAGAGCCTACTTTTTGTGTATAGAAAGAGATGGGAACAACATAAGCACATAATTCAAATTCATCTGAATTAAGTACTACAGTATATCCCTGGCCACAGTTGAGATTTTTTTTTTTTTCTGGGCACAGATAATCAAAGAAAAAGGTAGCATTTTAATTAAAGGAACACTTGGAAAAGTATTTGCCAGACAAGGTAATTGTCCAAAATCATGGTGACACCAAGGTGGAGAACAGAATATGTAATTACTGACTCCCTTGCACAGGTTATTTCTTCAACTTTTTAAACTGGAGATAGTCTTCTGGCAAACTGAAGGTCAAAGAGTGTCTTGGGTAAAGAATAATAAACTATTGAGATGATATAAGTAGAGCAAAGGTTCAGAATCAGTATACTCCACATTTTTTTTTCCCCTCTCTGTATTTGCTTAACTGCTTTCTAAGTATTAAAGAAAAATTCCACAATGTTCTCAACCACTTTTGGCGTTAAATAACTTATAGTACCAACTGTTCTTTCTGTGTCTTTTTTTTTTAACAGAAGTTTGAGGAAGTTAAAAACAGGTTCTTGGGCTGGGGAGATAGCTCAGTGTCATAAACACCTTCCTGGCAAGCGTTAAGGTCCTGAGTTCTCTCCCCATACCTACTCCCACCCCCTAAAAAATCCAAAAACAATCCCCCCTCCCCCCCAAAAAAAATCTAGGTTCTTTGGGATTGAGGCAGAACAGATTTAGCCCAGGGACCAATTTTACTACAGATAAAATAACTTCAGGCAAGGACTGTACTGAAACTCTAAGGCTCCTATTTCCCTACATGGAAAGTAAACTCCAGCTGTAATTAATAGCCAGTCATTACCATCCTCATGGCCAGTGTCATGCAGATTATACCTTACTATTCTTTTGCTCTGTGGCTATCCTGCAAAGGATGGTAAGGCAAAGATTGGCTGATTGGGGCTAGCATTTTTGATCTCTACTTAGGGCTTATTTTTAGGGAACTACGGGTATCTCTTTTGTAAAGTAGAAATACTAATAATACATTGTGATGTCCATGTAGTAATTAACACGGTATCCGACACATTGTAAGAGCTCAGTAGAAGTTGGCTATTAAGAGAATCTAAGAATCCTAGGACTTGGAGAATCTGTGTTCGACGTTTACAACCAAAGGAATTTGAGAGAAAAAAAAAATCAGTACTAAACAAGAACTCGTGCTTCTAGTAATGACGCAATTTGCTCCCTCCCGGCCACCGTAGCAGAGCATGCGTAAACAAACGTGGCGGGACGTGTGTGTCATGGCGCGCTCCATCTAACCTGCAGTTTCCGGCAAGTGGCGTGTTGATTTCTTTCACTTTGAACTGTTTTGTTATTTCCCGACTGCTGGGTAAGAGTGGCAAATGGGGCAGTGTGGGGCAGAGTGTGGCCAGAGCTCCTTTTACGGCCAAGCCTTGTTTCTGCAGGGTTAGCCTTTCTCGGGCCGATCGCTCGTCAGTCTCCGCAGGTAGGAGGCTCGCCCGCCGGGCTGGGGAGGTCGGAGCCGGCAGCCGCGGGAGCGAGGCCGGGACTCGGCCCGGGGGCTGCCGCCTGTCAGGAGCTCCTTCCTGTGGCAGGACTGGACCTCGTTGTGTGAGTTGGGCAGTTGTGCGGCGTGACGAGGCTCGCGCGGCGCAGCTTTCGCGGAGCCGGGTGTTAGCCGGACGTGAGCCGAAGTTGGGCAGCTGCCTCGCCTTTTCACTTGTTGGGCTCCTTTTGTGGAAAAAAAGCCTCGGTGACTCCCGGTCGAGGCGTCCGCGGGGCGGGGGCGGGGCGGGGACCGGGGCGGTCTGACCGCGCCCTTGCCGTGGTCGCTGCGGTGGCGGCGGCGGCGTCCTCCGTGCGTGCGCAGGGGCTGCGGTGGTGGGCGGCCCCGGCCGAGGGCCCGGCGGGGGCAGGGCTGTGGTGAGGCTGAAGCGCGAAGCAGCGTGGCACGTGAACGGCGAGAGCCGCATCTCCTGTGGGTCGTTGAATGAGTCCTCAAGTGGTCTCAAGAACGAATTGGCCGCCAGCGTTTTTCAATCAGTTTTCATTTTCCAGACTCCTCTTTCACGAGGGTGTGAGGCTCATTGGAGATAAACACGGCGCTGATTTGTTTTAAACCTTTTGTGTTTGAGGGGCATGTTACACAGCAGAACATACAGAAAAGTAACTGAGTATCTTGGAAACTTTTCATGGAAATGCTGTGGATTCCATGCCACCGGATCCAAGAGGAATTTTCATTTACTGTTGTTGTTTTGTTTTTTCCTTTCCTGGCACTGACCGTGCCCACCTCCGTAACATGCTCTTTTCCCTTGCCGTCTTTGGCTTGTTTGTTTTTTTCTCTTGTGACCGCTGCTTAATCGCCATTACAGACTAGTTCCCCTTGGAGTTCTCAAGGCTCAGTTCTTTACCTTTTCTGTTTTTTCTTTTTCTCTTTCAGTGATCTTTTGATTCTATTCATCCTTGTGAGGGCAAGATGATATATTATTGTAGTTACAATTTGCCTTTCTGTGATGGGTAATGATTTTGACATCTTTTCATGTTCTTATCAGTCATTTTTATGTATCTTCAAGATATGTCTGCTCAAATCCTTTGTCAGTATTTTAATTTGTGGTGTTTGTGTTGTGAATGTTAGATCTTTATCAGATATGACAGTATTCTATACAATGTGTGGGTTGTCTTTTCTCTTGTTTGCAGCATGAAATTGATGAGTAATGTGTTTTTTGGTTGCTTTTACTTTTGACACCTTGAGAAAGTGTAATAACTGAGAAATCAGTGCCTACTCTAATTCCTTGAAGATTTATAAATGTTACTTAGAATTTCATATGTTAGCTCTTATCTGTGATCCATTTTGTATTAATTTTTGTGTCTGATGTGAGATAGGGCTCTTTTTTTTTTTTTTTTTTTTTTGGCATGTGCCTATTTTTCTAAGCACGATTTGTTGAAAAGACTATTCATTTTTCTATTCAGTTATCTTTGTGCTTTTTAAAAAGTCATCTGACCCAGGAATGAATTTTTGACATGCATTCTAGATGATGATAATCCTGTTGGTCATAGAGCCACATTATGAAAAACACTACTGTAGGACATTGACTTACAATTCTGGCTACACCCATGAGAATTACTAGAAAGTGTTAAAAGATATTGATTCCAAGGCTCCATTTGGAGAGGTTGATTTAGCTGGGCTGGTGCTCAGTCATTGGTAATTCTCTCTGTCTTGTCTCTCTCTGTCTCTGTCTTTCTGTCTCTGTTTCTCTCTCTCTTGCAATTGCTGAGGCTTGAATCTGTTTTTTTTTTTTTTCGGAACTGGGGATTGAACTCAGACCCTTGCACTTGCCAGGCAAGCCCTTATTCAACTGAGCCATCTCCCTGACCCCAAACCAGTTTTGATGGTACTTTTCTAAAGCTTCTCAGGGGACCGGAATGAGCATTGAAGACTGAGAATCATTGCTGTTGGACAGTCGTAGTTCTTGATTTTATTTTTTATTGTATATTTTTGAGACAGGGTCTTGCTGTGTAGATGGCTTGTCTCACTTTTCCGGTGCTGGAATATAGGCATGCACTGCCACCCCCAGCAGAATCTTTGTTCTTAGTAGGGTGTTGGTAATGAATTAGAAATGTTGGTATACTAGGGAGCACAAAATTGAAAAGAGACCAAGGTTCTAATTCTAGCTTTGTGTACAAATCCTTTAGTGTCTCTTGACTCTGTTTCTATAAATAAGAAGCTCAGCAATGTTCTCTGCTTTCCTGACTCTTAATTATCTGTAAGTTGGCTGTAATGGACATTTTTTAATCCCATTTTTGCATTCTGTTTTCTTTTGGTAGGTCTACATACAATTGTGTATGGGATGCAAAATTTGTGTCATTCTTAGAAAAATAAAGCTTTTAGTAACACCTAGACTCACTGATTACCTGATTTTAAAGCCTTTCTCATTTAATTAATAAACGAATAATGATACAAGGAACACAGAGGATTATGTTTTTATTTCAACTTTCTGCCAGTGTAAGAATTTCCTCCTTTGTCATAGACTAGGTAATTTCATCTTAAACATTATGTTTGTTCAGTCAGTAAATATTGTACACCTGTTGTGTGCTGGGGATTGTTAAATGTGTTGAAGGGATACTAGGAAATAATACCTTTGTGCTCATAGAGCTTGTGTTGTAATGAGAAAGACACATGCAGCTATGTATATGGTGTCAGGTGGGTAAGTTCTGTGTAGAAAAGTAGAGCATAAAGCAGGGTTACTGGGAGTGTATGGGCTTGGGTAATGCGGTTATTTTAGATAAGCTAGCTAGGAAAGGCCTTTGTAAGCCTATGTCATTTGAGTAGAGAAGTGGGCAGCAGGCCATCCAAATATCTGGGGTGCTGATATTCCAGAGGATGAATACCAACTGTGAAACCCATGGAATCAGTCACTTAGCTTACTCAAAGTATCTCCAAGGTCGCCATAGGTACATGGTACATTTGGGACAGTGGGAGGTGAACAGGGTGGTAATCTGGCCCATATGTTGTTAGTCTGTGTGATCTAGAGTAAAAAATATTGAGACCCTTCAAGGTGCTGGCTATCATTCTGTGCACCTAAGAAAAAAAGTGAAAACATACAAAAAGCCTTATCCTCAAGAGATATATATTTTAGAAGAAGAGACTATAAAAAAAAAAATCTGCTTAAGCAGATGATAAAATGCTATGGCTTAATAAACAAGGCAGAAGGGCTGGGGATATTCTTAGTGGTAGAGCACTTGCATAGCACACATGAGGCCCTGTGTTGAGTCCCTAGCACTGTGACGACAACAACTACCCAAGGCAGGGAAGGAGAATAGAATATGTGTGTGTGCGTGTGCGTGTGTGTGTGGTATTGGTGCAAGGCCTAATGGTCATACTTGAGCTAAGTCCCAAAGGGCTTAAGTGAGTTGGTGGATGGCCTTAAGGTGAAAGAAAGGAATTGGGAATGATTCTAGGATTTTTTAGCCTACACAGTGATAAGGTTGGGATTGTCTTAAATAATGGGGAGAGTTTTGAGAACATCTAGTGATATAGGGAGAGGATCAGGAGTTCTGTTTTTGATTTTTAAAGTTTGGAATAATTATTGGACATTTAAGCTTGGGTGTTCTCTAGGCATTTGGACCTGAATGTGAAATTCAGAAGTCTGGGACTGGTTATATAAGGATACAGTTGGTATTTCAAAGCTGTGGGCCTGGGTGAGATCACTTAGGGAGCACCTGTAACTAGAGAAGAGTCCCTGTCGTGGAGCCATGGGGCCATTCCTGTACTGAGAAGTTGGAGTGATGAGGAAGGAGCTGAGGAGACTGAGGGGTGGCTAATATGGTGGAGGAGAATGAGAGGAGGGTGATGTCCTAGAAGCCCACAAGAAAATGCCTTAGGGAGGGAGTGGTCAGTGCTGTCAAATGCTGCAAATCATATCACCTAAGGCAGGAGCTAGGTGTTTGTTATTATTAAACGCCCTAAAAGGTTTGCCATTATTGATTAAGGTGACTGAAAATTGGTCATGCTATACTTCATTGGAAGTCATTGAAGTCAGGCAGATTTCACAGTGTGTGTCTGTATGACAGACTTTCTTTTTTTTTTTTTTTTTT